CACCCCAAAGGGTTCAGGCCTGACACCCCAAAAGCTTCAAGGCCTGACACCCCATAGGGTTCAGATCTGACACCCCAAAGGCTTCAGGTCTGACACCCCAAAGGGTTCAGGCCTGACACCCCAAAAGCTTCAAGGCCTGACACCCCATAGGGTTCAGATCTGACACCCCAAAGGCTTCAGGTCTGACACCCCAAAGGGTTCAGGCCTGACACCCCAAAAGCTTCAAGGCCTGACACCCCAAAGGGTTCAGGCCCAGCACCCCAAAGGGTTTGGGCCCGACACCCCAAAGGCTTCAAGGCCCAACACCCCCCAGCTTTGGGCCCAGCACCCCCAGCACCCCGCAGGCTTCAGGCCCTACCTGCGCAGGTAACAGCCCCGCGGCTCAGGCTGCTCTCTCCACCCTGAAAGGAATTGCCTTTGGATGGAGAGGGCAGGAAGGAGAGGGAGCAGAGCTGAGGGGCTGCTGGAAGGAGCAGCTCGGCTTGTAGCGAAGTCTGACACCCCAAAACAGCCATGTCTGCTGCTTGTGCTCCAGCATCTCCCGTCCCTGCTGTCACGGTTTGGCTCGGGAGCAGCAATTAAAGCAGAGACAGCAGTGCTGCTCAGATCAGGAGCTGGGAGACTCAGCTCGAGGGAGAATATAGAGGTGAAACTGAAGCTGCTGCTACCATTGCTATCTGAGGGGTTCCTCCCATCAGAGATGGAATTTAAATGGGGTCCTGAGCTGCAGAAAGCTTTTGAGCAGATTAAAAAGGAAAATTGGCTTCATTCTGGCTCAAACCACAACACCTGGCATGTACCAGGCACGTTCCGAGGGGGAAAAGAGGGTCCTGTTCATTTAAAGATGTTAGTAGAGCCACTAAACTCAGACACTGAATTCTTTTGTGACCTCCTACTTCAAAAAGTTCCTGTTACCTCTGGTTAAATACCCGAAATACACAGAAGAAAACTGTCACGACTGCTGACACTCCCAGTAAAGTTGCCATCACAGCTTTATTGTTTCCAAATCTGAGTTGAATTTACTAATGTTTTCACTCCCCCTCCATCGTACACAGCAGAGAGCACTGATTTGAGGCAACAGAGTTAAATGTTTCTGTGCAGAACCTTAAGTGATTTATCTCTACCTCTGTACTGCAAAGGCTGCTTTGAGATGAAGCACCAGTCTGTGGTGGGAACGAGGAGAAGGAGCACTGAAAAGGGGTGCTGGGAAAAGAGAGCAGTGCTTCTGGATACAGGCATCCTGCTCCTTTGTTAAAAAGCCACTGCACCCCACTGGTGGTGGGAACTGCAGTACTTGTGGGCAACTTGTCAGTGGTGCAGTAAGCACAGAGTCACTAGTTCCCTCGCAGTAAAGATTGCACTGATAAAAAAAAAAAAAGAGTCCTGTGGGATGAGGCTGCACCTCTGCCTGGAGCTCCTGTTTCAGTCCTGACTCAGCAGAGGTGACCAACAGGTCTAGTGTTTCTCTTCTGAGATGCATGGGTGGCAAGCAGCCCATCAGCAAGAACTGGAGACAGAGGCTGGTGCTCACACTGTGATTTGTACCTGCAGGCTGCAGGATGCCACCAGGAACAGCAGCATGGGGGTGGCATCCAGCTCTGCTGGTTAATATAAGGCTGTTTCCAGTGGGTTATCCCCCTCTCCACTCCCAGTTTTTTTGAGCTGGTGAACAGGGGAGGGAAACAGACCAAGCTGTAACAAAGGAATTTTTAAGGCTGGAGATCAGTGTCTGGCTTCAGCCCTGCAGCAGGTTCCTGGCAACTATCATCCGCATCACCTCATTGGTACCTGCAGCAAAAGGGTGCAAAAGGCAGCTAAGAGAGGGTCCAATTCTGCAACCCCCCCAAAAAACCAACAAGAATTGTTCCCTGATCTGCAATGTACAGCACTGAAAAGATCTTCCCACCAATCCAGCTGGCATTTAGGAGGTGCTGGGCCAAAATACAACTGTACATTGCTTGGGAAAGGCTTCGAAGTGGTAGATGCTGGTGCTTCTTTTCACTTGGGCATTGAGAAGCCCTTATAGGGCTCCAGACATCAAGCAGAACTGGATAGATGGATATGGCTACAGCAGTAAAAGAGTCTCTTACCTTCCAGGATCTGGTGGACTCGGGTGTCTCGCACAAACTGCTGCACTGCATAATCCTTCAGGTAGCCATAGCCCCCGTGCATCTGCAGAGCCTGGTTACAGATCTAAGGAGACAACACCTCTGGTGAAGTGACACATATTCGGTAAGAACCCAGGAACCTGGGGCTCATTGTTTCTTTCTGATCACCTCATCTCGTCCCTGGAAGTCTGGTGTGACAGCGAGGTGCCCTCCTGTGCCCATCACTGCTGCTCTCAGTGCTCTCATGTTACCCAAGTACAGCTTCACATTAATGGTCCGAGAGCACAGATATACCCAGGAAATCTTTTACTTCACTAAGGCACTTTTTTTGCTGCACTTTTCGTGGTGCTACTGATGGAAAAAGAAAAATGCCAGATCCCCATCTAGCGGTGGGTCAGGCGAGGGATCTGCTCAGGGCTCTGGTTTCTACTGAAACATGACTCCATGAGTCATTACCTGTCAACCCGGGACATAAAACATAATAAATAGCAAAAATGTAGAGTGCTGAGAAAATAGTGGCTTCTAAATGACCATGATCTGGGAAATGTCACGGTGCAGATCTCCTTTCTTTTCCTTTTCCTTCCTTCTTGCTTTCTCTTTTCAGGGATATTTTCATAGAATCACAGGATGGTTTGGGTTGGAAAGGGCCTTAAAGATCATCCAGATCCAACCCCCAGCATGGGCAGGGACACCTCCCACCAGCCCAGGCTGCTCCAAGCCCCATCCAACCTGCCCTTCAACACTGCCAGGGATGGGGCAGCCACAGCTTCCCTGGGCAACCTGGGCCAGTGTCTATTTTGTGGTAATACTTTATTTTTCAAAGGTCTAGGAAAGACCACTTGCTAGCTAGGAGCAATCAGCTGGCAACATGCTTATTATGCTTGGAAAATAAGAATGCTTTACTCCCCGTCCTGTCTTCCTACTTGGTCCCCTAGAAAGTAGTGTTGAAAGCACAGGAGGCCAGGAGGCCTCAACTGTGGAGAGGTTAATACTGCAGCCTCTACAGGGTGCAGATAAAAGCATCCTGGACCTGAAATGAGCCTTCTGGCTCAAGGAACATGCCTGGGACCGGGTTGCTACAGCATCAAACCTCTTTCTGACATCCCCAGCACCAAGGGGGGGTCCCCAGGCTTGCAGTTCTGGCGCCAGGGGAGGCACGAGTCACATACCATGAAGCACTCATCGGTAGCAAAGAGCTTGGCCATGGAGCAGAGCACGGCCGCGTCCTCCCGGCCCTCCTGCAGAGCCCGCGCCGCGCTGCGAACCATCAGCCGGGCGGCCACCAGGCGCGTCGCCATCTCCGCCAGCCTGAACTGCAGGAACTGCCAGGGGACACAGCTCAGCCTCTTCGGAGGGGGCTGGGTCCTCAACCACAGCCCCACCACCTGCAGGCTCAGGCCTGACAGGCTGTCTTTTCTCAGGAAAAGCTTCCCGAGTTCTCCAGGGAAGAGCCTGTGAGGCGCTGTGGTGGGGCCCCTCTGGCTGCTCGTTCAGCCAGGATCAGGAAGAGCAGAGCTCTGGGAGCGCAGCTCTGATGGAGAGGTTACCTGGTTGTTTGCCAAGGGTTCTCCAAACTGTTTGCGGACAGTGAGATGTTCCTGAGCCAGGAGAACAGAGGCGTGAGCAGCTCCTAACGAACACGATGCTGGTGGAAGAAGCCAAGGACACAGCGTGAATACGAAAGGGGCAACAAGATGACCCAAGTCCTCTTCCCCTGGCTCCCAGCTCTCCCTCTTACCAATGTTTATCCTGCCTCCATTCAGTCCCTTCATGGCAATGCTGAAGCCCTGCCCTTCAGCTCCCAGCCGGTTGCCAACAGGAACAACACAGTCCTCAAAGATCACAGCCCGAGTTGGCTGGGAATTCCAGCCCACCTGAGAAAAAAGCAGAGCACCTTCCAGACTGCCTAAGGAGCAGCACAGCATCAGAGAACCTGCTTTCAGCCCTGGGTCTCACTGCCAGGCTGCTGCAGAGTGCCTGTGGTCAGTGTGGTTTGGCCTCAGCGTGCTGAGCTGGAAACTGCAACACGTGTATTTGAGAAAAGGCACAGATCCAATGAACCTTGATGTTCCTGAGATTAAAATCCTTCATTTACCAAAGGGAGGGGTATTGGGCAAACTTCACCAGAGCTGGACTTGGCTTGGAAAAAACACGCCAGGCTGGGACTCCAGTCCCATCTAAGAGGAGATCCTAAGGCTTTGCACAGACAAGCTCACCTCTGTCCTGCACTTCCCTCAAGCCCATGGGAAGAAACCAAGCCTCTTACCTTCCTCTCTTTCTTGCCAAAGCTGAGCCCTGGTGTCCCCTTCTCTACCACCAGGCAGGATATGCCCTTGGGGCCTGGGCCTCCCGTGCGACACATAACCACGTAGACATCAGTGTCACCTCCCCCACTGATGAAGGCCTGCAGAAGGGCACAAGAAGAAAGGGGTGGCTTCTGTATGCTGTCCCTGAGCCTGCAGCAGCAGCTGGGGTACAAAGATAGAGGGACAAAGACCCCATGGCCAGGAGATGTTTAGGGACCCAACTATACTAAGCTCTGGTGAAGGCTCTGCAGAGCATGTTCTACCTGGGGAGGATACACAGAGATGAGACAGTAGGAAACAGAAAAGATCAGAGAGTGGTTGGGGTTGAAAAGGACCTCTGAAGATCATCTTGTCCAACTCCTATGGTTGATGGTGATGACCCAGGCCCCCCTTTGCCTACATTGCCACCCAGCAGCTTTAGGAGGAGCAAAGAGGTACCTTGGAGCCATTCAGGACATAGGTGTCCCCTTTCCTCTGAGCTGTGGTCAGCAGGGAAGCTGCATCACTCCCACTCCCTGTTGGAGAGGTGAGGAAGCAGCCAGTGAAGCAGCAGGTCTGCAGAGCCTGAAAACCCCCCAAGGAATCACACCCAATGACACACTCAGGTTTGTACCATGAGCAACTCAGCAATCATCATCTGCCACTTCCCAACTTCCCATGGACTGCCCAAATGAATGTGAAAAGAAACTCTTCCCCTCCAGCTCCATGCACCGTTCATGTCCAGTTAAACCAGGTTAGGAGTGAGGGGAGGGAGAAGATTTCTTGGTTGAGGAGGCTCACCTGGCTCAGTCAGGCAGTAAGAAGCAAACTTCTCCATGCTACAGAGAGATGGGCAGAACTTGTGCCTCTGTTCCTCATTGCCAAAGGTGTCAATCATCCAAACACACATGCTGGAACAGGGGAGAAGGAGCAGCATTACAGTACAGGACCACAGCTCTGGGAGATTCCCTGGCTGAACAGAAGAACAAAGCTCCAAGGGGTTCAGTCAAAAGCCCTGAGGTTTGAAAGCATATGGCTCTACCTCAAAATTGAACATAATTACATGTCACAGTAGCTGGGAGGAAGGAGACTGCCTTCCATTCACCATAGACCTGGTGGAACAGCAGGTTCCTATGGAACAGCCTTGGTGTTCCCCTCAGCACTAGGCCCTGCTGTCTCTTTGAAAAACTGCACCTGGAAGGAGGCATCATCACTCCATCTTTCTGTGCAGTGTGCCTGACACTGAACATGTCTGTACAAGCAGGACAGGGCCCCCACATCAGCTGGTGTCTCTGGGCTCTGTCACAGCACAACCAAAGGACAGAAGCTTCTTCCAGGCAGGTTACTATCTATAGACAGATTAAGACAGGGAACAAAATCCAGAACTTGATCCCATCCTGCATGCCACCAAGCTAAAATTACTTGTTGGTGGCATCTCAGTTTCTGTAGCCTGTTTGTTTACTGCTGTCCAGGGATCCTCACAGCAATGTGTCTACTTGGGGTCCCAACTTCGCACAATCAGCAGCACCCAGTGATGTGTCTCCAGCTGGATTTAGATCTCAGGGAACAACTGTGGTTTCCAGGCTAACTCCACCCACTGCTCAGCAGACACACTCACTTGTGGATGCTCATATAAGCAGTGGTGCTGGTACATCCTGTTGATAAAGCTTCAAAGATGACGGAGGTATCAAGTCGTGACAATCCAGAGCCACCGACGTCTGGTTTCACATAGATCCCTCCAAATCCCAGCTGGGCTGCCTTCCGCATTGTTTCCACAGGGAATATTTCCTATTGGCACATCACAAGGGAATATTCATCAACTTACCCTCAAGATTCCACCTCCTTTGGTACACCTGGGCTACCAAGTCCAGTCCCAGACTTCTGCAGAGTTTAAGATAATTGTGTGGGTTGATGAAGAGGCAGCTACCTAGACAGATACATACCATCTTCAGGAGGAAATTCAGGTTTCAGATGATTGACTAGCCTGGCAAGGAAACCTTCAAGGTATTTCTGATAGCTTCCCACCCCAGCTAGCACAGTAATTTCAAAGCAAGTCTCTACACGTAGCTTTACAGCACTGAGGAGCTATTGCAGGAGCCCCTCTGATGTGACCCAAAGGATCATAACATCTTATGGGAGGAAAAAGTGAGCAGTACAATCCTCCTAAGGCTGTCATACCTTTTCATCCCACTCAGCCATGTGAGGAGCCATTTCCTTGGCAGCAAAATCAAGGGCAACTTTTTGGAATTCCTTCTGCTCCTCAGTCAGGCCGGTGGATGCTGGAAAAGCAGGAAGAGATCAGAATACGTGTCAGTTGTGGGAAAACAAGCACTGCCATTACTTCTATACCCTGAGCAATTTCAGAGTGTCTCTTAACTCACACAAAGAGTTCAGGGGCTCTGCTGCAGAGACCATGTCTCTGTTCCTCAGCACCACCAGGAAATGGGCTTTAGGAGGGAGGGGCTTTCTGGGGAGAAAAGGAACCTGAAGCTCCAGGTATCTCAGTCTACTCATCACTAACTGCACTGTGAGACTGACAGTCCATGGCAGCTGTCAGTCCATCTCACTAGGTCTGTGCTGCAGAAATACGAGGGCCTAGGCCTGGAACTTCAAAGAAGTGAGACTCAGAAGCAAGCAATGAATAAAGCAGCTGGAAACAGCATCTAAAGTGTTGGTTACGTCCTGCATTTGAAAATTCCGGCTTCATTTGCATGTAGAGTCAACATTGTTTTGTTAGGTTCTCTCCTAAAATCCACAGAATAGAATGTCTTGGGTTGGAAAGGACCTATAAAGGTCAACTAGTCCTACCCCCCAGTAATAAGCAGGGGCATTACCAACTAGAACAGGTTGCTCAGAGCTCCATCAAGCCTGACCTTGAACATCTCCAGGGATGGGGCCTCTGTCACCTTTCCAGTGATCCACCACCCTCATAGTAAAGAGCTTTTTCCTAATGTCCAACCTAAATCTAGCCTTAAAACCATCAGCCCTTGTCCTATCATTACATGCCCTGTGAACAGCTCTTCTCCAGGCTTCTTACAGGCTCCTTTCAAGTGTTGGAAGGTCACTATAAGGTCCCCCTAGAGTCCTCCTTTCTTTAGGATGAACAACCCCAACTCTCTCAGCCTGTCCTCATAAGAGAGGTGCTCCAACCCTCTGATCATTTTGGTTGCCCTTCTCTCTGGACATCCTCCATCAGATCCACATCCTTCATGTGCTGGGGGCTCCCGAGCTGGACGCAGAGCTCCGGGTGAGCCCTCACCAGGGCAGAGCAGAGGGGCAGAACCACCTCTGTCCACCTGCTGGCCACACTTCTTTGGATGCAGCCCGGGATGTGCTTGGCCCTGGGGCTGCAGCTGCATCTCCAGCTTTTGATCCACTAGTACCCCCAGGTTTTTTTCCACAGGGCTGCTCTCCAGCCTGTGCTGGGATCTCTGCTTGCCCAGGACCCTGCACTTGGCCTTGTTGAACCTCACCAGCTTCACCTGAGCCCACTTCTCCACCTTCTCCAGGTGCCCACGGATGACTTCCCGACGTACCAACCCCACCGCCCAGCTCGGCGCTGCTATTTCCATCCTGACCCTGCGGGCTACACGTCAACAATCCGGGCAGCCTTTGGGAACCCTGGAGAACCCCTGCCCAGCCGCAGCTGTTCTCCCAGACACCAGGCTCTGAAGAAGGACATCCCAACCACAGGGTAACCCAACCTCGCAAAGCGGGGGGATCACCCAGCCCTGCCTCCCGCGGGGACGATATTCCTTGCTTCCCACCCACTCCAAGAGAAGGGAAAGGCCTTTTCCCGGCGCACAGAGGACACATCCCCCCCTGGGGGGCTCCCAGGAGGGGATCCCGCCGCTCCCGCCCCGCTCCCAGCTCCTTACGGTCGATGGAGGAGGCGA